AGTATTTTGATTAATAGTTTATATATTGTTTGATAGAAAAACTGTAACAAATGCCTAGCAGAAGCATAAATGGGGTTTTTTTCATCTTGACCTTCATTAAAAATAACCCCTAACCTTATAGGATCTAGTGTTTTCATTCACACCCATCCGCTGGACTACCTGCCCATGGGAGCTCAGCCCTGGCAATCTTTTAGTCTCATGATGCTGAGTGAATACAGTTCTAAATGCACCTGTTTCCCTAAAAAGGATAATTGGAAAATAGGATGAAGTGATCACCAGATGTTTATTCTGTTTCCTCCACCCATACTCCCAGCTCTTGTTGACCTGAACAGCTTGGCACTAGAGTTCTAGGCTCCTGACCTGTACTGCTTTTAGATCATCAGGCAACTGTAGTAAATACTGCAGCATAAAGAAAGCATTTTTTTTTTATTGACTTTTTCATCCATTCTTAACCTTAAGTTTAATTTTATTCTAGTTCTGTGAAGGCATGCAGGTATTAGCTGAGCGATAAAATTGTTCATGTGTTTAGAAGGCACTGGAAGATTCATTTTTCCTGTGTAAGCTATACCTGCTACAATGAGCAGAAACCTGGCGTTCAGACTGACTGGGAAAATGATGAAATGTGTCCAGCTCTGAAAATAAGGTGGGTTGATATGTTATACTGATGCTTTCTGTAAGGTCAAATCTCCAAATCATTTATGAATATTTTTGGTGATATGTCATAAAATCTGTTCTCTCAATAAGCATCAACTGATCTTGTCAAATAAAATTAGAAATCTCTTGCTAGCCAGTAGTGCCAACTGTCTATAAACTTATGTATACACAATAAAAACAAGGCTAAAAGTATCTGTCCATAAAAATCCATAAAAAATTGAGCTGTCATTAACCCCCCCCCCCCCCCCCACCAGAGCTTGATTGAAGCTCTGTCACTAGAAGAAGTTTGAGACAATGCTGAAACACAGACAGAGCACAGCAGTGCTGAGTGGGAGTGCAGCACCCTGAAGGGAACTCCTGTCATGGCTTTGTGGCTCAGAGACATCTCTGTAGCTCCCCTCTTTCCCATCGCCCTCCCTACTGCCAAAGCCATGAGCTGCTGTTGCTGCTGTCTCATCTACCTGTAACAGTGTTCACCTCACAGGTATGCAAACAATAGTAGGGGTGTGTGAAGTGGGCCCTATTTGATTCGGATTCTGATTCGGCCCAAATCAGGGACAGTGATTCAATTTGCTGATTCGGATCACTGTACTGATTCCATTAATCCAAATCTGAAGATTCGGAGAATCAGTGATTTGGACATAGACACAGCTTAAAAGTTTTTTCTACGTACCTTGAAGTAGCAGCCACGACTTGTGATGCTGGGTGCACGGAGAGTTCCATAGGAGTGTACTGAGGAACCCCCTGCACTCTTGTGGGATGCTCCACACATCCCAGCATCACAGCATTCATGAGCCCCTGCTACCTAGAGGTATGCAGAAAAAACATTTAAAGCTGTCTCTATGTCTAAATCTCCGAATCTCTCCGAATCAATTTGGAGGGTTCCAGTTCAATTCGGAGAGATTAAAGGGTCCTCTGATTCAATTCAGATTTCGAGATTTGGCCACTGAATTGGGCCGAATCAAATCAGCCCTAAACAGTAGCCCTTCTTGAGGGGTCCATACCAGGATGGAAGAGTGGGGCTGGTTAGGGTAAGTCTGTGGGTGGGGGAGTAGCATGGTGCTGGGTGCAGTCAGGAGCATTACAGGGTGGGAGTGAATAGGGGCCCTTAGAGGGAGGCAGCATGATGTAACCCAACCCAAGAACAATTTATTTTTTTACTGATAATCTGAAAATTTTTTCTGACAGTCAAACATTTCTTACTATGGTTGCTATTAAACCTAAACTTGAACCTAGACCTTGTCCAGGGCTTGATAGAATGGTTATTTTTATATTACATAAAACATATGGCAGTTAAAATTTATATTGTTAAAAAATTTTGGTTAGTAAAAAATTTGCAGACTGTCATGCAGCTGGTCAGCTATCTCATGTCTGCTTCTTGACTAGCTCATATTTTGAGCAAGAACAAAACCACCAGCAAAGCAGGAATAATTAATACCATATTTTTATATGGATTTTCAGGCAAATAACAATTCATGTTTAAAATTAATCCAGCTAGTGATCTGCAATTTTTTTCACAAGTTGAATGAGTTTTAGCACAAAACACTATTTTCCAAAAAAGTCATATCAGAAGAAAGGTACTTTTTATTTGCTTTTGGTTAATCATTGTAATTGAAAACTGATCAAGTATCTAATAATTTTTTTTGGCAGCTATATAGTACTTTTCTGACTAAAACTGAACTTCCTGACTCTTTTGCTATCTGGACAGAATGTATCCAGCTTCTGCCAATGTTATTTAAATCAGTAGTTTTCATGTATGTATCACTGTTCCCTACTGCCTTAAGGAAGGAACAATTTCCATACCTTTTATAAGTGAAACAAGGATTACAGACCTCCTCTAAACCCATGTCATTTTATATTCAGAGGTATACAAATAATATGGTAATTTACTTTATTCTGGCGACCTATGGTAGCCATAACATAAAAAGGTAAAAGCAACGCACACACACACACACACACACACACACACACTCATAATTTAAGAACCAAAATTAAAAAAAAAGAATAATTTGTCACTTTCAGGTATGTATTTAGTATTTGTGAAAGTAGGATATAGCTCTGAAGACTGTGTTTAGAAAACACAGTGGCCATGGAAACTCCCCAACACTACTTCCCTAAAGTATTTAATACTTGTTCTAAAAGATTTCCATTAGACTTGATAAAGGTAGTGTAGTCCTTAGTCAGTCTTTAGTTTTATAATTTCTCTGCTAAGTCTGCCAAAAATTTGTCTTGCTGTTTCCAATTACAGTGCTGATATTTGTGAACTGGACAGTTGTCAAGCAGGAACTGAATTGTAGATTAATTTCAGAGGCTATCAAAAAATTATCACTTGGATGTCATTGATGTTAGCTGTATTCAAAACAACTACTTAAAGGTTAAAATATTCACATTCATTATTAATCCCTGACCCATTATCCCTCTCCCCTTCCTTAAATAAAAGAAAAACTTAAAAAAGGATACCAAAAAACTGGACTCGCATTTAACGTCTTGATTCAGTGTCTTGATTCATTCGTATATCACAAAAAATAAATGGTAGTGTCCTGTACTCAACATAATATTAAAGCTGTAGCTCTATGAATTCAGTTCAATGCAGATTCAGTTTAATCATTAGTTATTAACCATACAAAAATTCTGGAAAAGTATTATGAGATGATTTAGGAAATGAATACACAGAGAAAACCATCGTTAGGGGATTGCTTATAATCGCTCCCTCAGATCCGAGGCTGCTATCATTAAATATGTATACAATGCATAAAGAGCACAGTGTTTGATAATAGCTCATTATCAGGTAGTAAATTAGAGATTAGAGAGGTTATGCTTTTAAACCCATTGCTACTGCTGCAGCTGACTGGGTTGCGGTATGTATTGGACAAACAAGATGAGTTTTGAGAGACAGTGGGCATGTCTACACAAGATACTTAATGCCCATTGCACTAATTCTACTGTACATTAGCGTGGCTGGCAAAAACCGTGCTGATGCACTAATGCACAGTAGATTAGTCCAATGGGCATTAAGTGTTGCATAAAAAGCTTTCATTTGTGCTAATGTGCAGTATCTTTAGTCCAATGGGCATTAAGCATCACACAGTGTTCATCTGCGCTAATGCACAGTAGCACCGATAATGATGCATTCAATTAGTACTAGTTATTACAGGTATTAAACTTAATGTGCCAACTTAATGCGCAATGAATGTATAGACATGCCCAATATTAATGGTGATAAAGTAGCTGATAGAGTAGGCAATGGTTTGCATTTTCTGGTTGAATAAATTGCTTTCAGTGTTGGTAGGTAAAGAGCAAAAATGGATAAATACCTCCTTTTAGTACTAACCCAACCCTCCAAGCTTCTGGGGCCAATTCATTCCTTTGTAAGTGAGTGTATAGCCTCACGATCTATTATACCAACTGAGGATCAGACTCTGAAAATACCCTCTTAAGTGACTAACAGCCCTAGGAAACTCCCTAATGGTTTATGGGGTCAGTGAATTGTAGCCAGAAAAGGACATCTGTGATAGCTGTGGGTATCATGGTGATTTCCTCATGTCAAGGGAAATCCACAACAGCCAGATTGTCAGACCCTTTCTGTCATCAGGATGGCTAAAAGGATCTGTGTACCAGGGCAAGTACCAAACGTCATAGTGAGGCTATTTTGGATTAGCAGCATAATTGAAAATTATGACTTTAGAAGACATGTTTCAGCATGGGACCTGCTTGCCAGCTAGCTAGCACTGAAGTACCCTGCGCCCCAGCTAGCTGGGACAACATCTACACATGGAGTGCTGTACACAAAACACTCCTTAGGAGGCTAGTACTTGTATTTTACAAGACTACCCCGCTGTGGAGTCAATTAGTTTTGTGTGCCCTAATAGGGGTGCATGTGTAGATGCCAAGATGTTTACTGCACAGTAAATTGGTCAACTGAGTAGTAAATGTCTTGTGTAGATACACTCCCTGTGTTCTAGCACTCCCCACTGGTGTGGGCATGCACACACAAACAATTCTATGGATAAAATAAATTTAAATATAGGCTGCATGCCAGTGACTGATATAGCAGGTACGGGGGGTGAGAATTTTATATTTAGAACTGATATGCAGAGCAGTATGTAGTCACAAAATTATCTTTCCCATCTGAAGAGATCCCAGTAAATAATGATTTAATAAATTAACATTAAACTTCATGGCTGGATAAAGCAATGTACCATTTCTATTTCACTTATGTTCATTTGATATATAATAATTCTTGTAATGGCAGGCTAATGCTGGACTTTACCTTAGCCAGTTCTTTTACTTTTCATGTGCTTGCATATTGCAAAATTATGTTCTTGTATCCTTCCTACAATTGATATATGGGATTTCCCTCCCCAGAACTGAAGCTTGAAACATTCATTCTCAGTATGAAGATGTTGCTGACTTTGTCTCTCGTCCTGGTTGCAACTTGCAGTTCGGTAGCTCAGAAGCCTGGTAATTCAGCATCTCTTTGTATACTATAGTTTATGAAACAAGATTGTTTAAATGCTTAGTCTCCCATTAAATACTGATGAGAAGCTGAGGTGTCTGGAATTGGCGTTTATGCAAATAAGCAGCAACTTAGTTTGGACAATAGCAACAAGCACTATATACTTCTGTGATGGGCTCTTAAAAAAGTCTAAGATGTAGGATCTGATTTAGAAGTAGATTGTCCATGTCTCACAATGGACAATCACATATGCCTGTGCCTGTAAGTTAACTGTTTTTAAAGGTAAAAGTTTGAAATGGGACTTAGTGGTGCAGAGTGTAAAACAGAAGTTTCCCACCTTGCCAACCTTATTCACAGCTTTAAGATAAATATTATCCTTTAAGTGTGCGGCAGCCAATTCTCTACTCTTTGGCACATAGCAAAGTCATATCTAAGTCATAGCTTTCTCACAGACGTGTGCATGCACGTACATATACACATACATGCACATGTGCACTAGGGCTGTGTGAAGCTTCAGTCACTGATTCAATTCGGTGGAGATTCGGTCCAATTCGGTGGCTGGATCTCCAACTCTGAATCGAATCAGGAGACCTTTTAATCTCTCCAAATCAAATCGGAACCCTCCAAATTGAGTCGGAGAGATTTGGAAAGATTCAACGATTCAGACATAGCTTTAAATGTTTTTTCTACATACCTCAAGGTACCAGGCAGCTCATGAATGCTAAAATGGTGGGGTGGATGCAGTGTCCTACAGGAGCATGGGGGAGTCCCCAGCATGCTTGGCAGCAGACCCACAAGTGGACCAGAAGCACTTCCAGTCCACTTTTGGGTCCGCAAGTTAGTGCACAGGGTGGGCCCCCCACCTCCCCTGGCTTGGCAGCTGGTGCCTCCTGGGTCTGGGGGGGGCACCTAAGTTTCCCCCCCGCCCCCATGGCTGATTGCTGAGCTGGGGTGGGTCCAGCAGGACCCCTCAGTGCGCTCGGTGGCAGACCTGGAAATGCACCAGAAGTACTTCTGGTCTACTTCTGGGTTTGCCACCAAGCACACAGGGGGCCCTTGGCGCTCCTGTGGGATGCTCCAGCCGCTGTACCATTGCAGCATTCATGAGCCACGCCTGGTATGTAGAAAAAACATTTAAAGCAGTGTCTATGGCCGAATCGCTGATTCTCCGAATCAGCACTGAGTCTTCAGATTCAGATTCAGCTGATTTGAATCAGAACAGTGATCTGAATCAACAAATTGAATCACCGTCCCCAATTCGAGCTGAATCCGAATTGAATACAGCCCATTTCGCACACCCCTAATATGCACTCATATGCACACATACACAGCCATGGAACCTACATTCTTTTTGTGTAACATTTGCCCTATCTATACAGTTGGCCCTGTAAAAGTTCACAGAAAACCCATGCCTCTTGTATGTTTCCTGGACCATCACAGCTGTAACAAGTATCAGTGTTCTTCAGTGATTTATGGTGGAACAGCTTTTTTTGAGAAAGATTTTACTGTATCTTCTAGAGATGGTGTGATTCTGGATTGGTTTTCATTGTACCTTAGAACTGTATACAAGAGGAAATTTGCTGACAGAGTTATACCAATATAATTACATTGCCATAGCTGTGTTACTGTAACTTCCCTGAAGGGGGCATACATGGAATAAGAGTAGTTGCTGGTCTGCAGCACTTGGGTATATTCTGAATAGGTAGGGAATAAAATCTTGGAGGATTCTTAACTTTGAGGTTATGATGCTCAATAATTTTTTCTTGGATTGGACTAATATACTGCCAAACATGAAGTTAAGGGATTTTCAGTGAACAGGAATAAGAAATTCTCATTAAAATTGTTGAGATGATGCAGTACTAGTTTTCTAGACAGTATAATCTGTCTCCCAAAGCAGAGGAAAAGAGCCCAAATGCTTCAAGTATAACTAGAGAAAATATGTGAAAAAAGTTTAGGATTTAAAGGGATCTCTTGTATTGGAGTCAATAAATGACGTGTGCTCCATTCCTTAAAGCATAAGGACACTTTACATGCTTTAAAGGAAATGCAGTGTGTGAGTCTGGGAAATGCCAGATGCTGCAATTCCCCTGGAAGTAAATGAGAGTTGTAGAGCCCCCTCCCCCAACCCCCCTCTTTTCATGATAAGAAGCTGTGATATTCAAACATACTCCAAAATATAGGGTACTTTGGTTGTCATTATAAAAGTGTTATATTTTGGCTTTTGGTCACACTTACTCGGAAAAAAAAATAGATAAGTACCGCTTTATTGTGTTGTGTTTATTAAGATCCTATGGAGGAGGAAAAGGTCACAGGATAACATTCGTCTCTCTCTACTTTTGCAGCCCCAGAGTCTGCAGATATTGTCTTTTTGGTTGACAGCTCCGACAGCCTGGAAGACTCTTCATTCGGCTCCTTAAAAGATTTTATTGCAGAAACAATTGATAATCTGCCAGTAGGACCTAACCAATACCATATTGCACTTGCCCAGTACAGTGATGATTTGCATAGGGAGTTTCAGCTAGATACTTATAATGCAAAGAACTTGATGCTAAACCATGTCAAGAAGAACTTTGTATTTAGGGGTGGGTCAGTCAGAACTGGCAATGCTCTCCAAAAGGTTCATGAGATATATTTTAAAAGACCAGCTAGTGCAACAGGAAGAAATCAGATTTTGGTGGTTGTGACTTCAGCATCCTCAGATGATGATGTGGAAGAGCCTGCCAAAATCTTGCAGAGTAGTGGAGTAAAGATCATAGCTGTAGGGACAAAAGAAGCTCCTTATGATGAACTAGCTTTGATGGCTACACCCCTGTTCTATTACAAAATTCCTAAGATAGAGGAACTTCCTGTCTTTTCTCAACATATACCCCAAATAATTGAAGGTATTAATTTGGATGTCAATAGTGCAATGCAAACAACTATGTTTGAAGTAACTGACCTGCGTGAAGAAAAACAGCTAGAAGGTAAGAAATGCAACCATGTGAAAAGTGGATAAGTTTTACAATGTTATAAATAATACAGATGTAAATGTTAGAGCATAGGGGACTTTTATCATCGTTGATACCCTCTGTGTGTTCTGAAAATGAGAAATGAGCCTGGCATATCTGACCTGGGCTCGCAATTAGATTTGCATGGCACACTGACAGTCTGAAAAATCAGTGCTTATCTGCTTGGGCAACTGGATGGTTCTTCACGAACCCTTCAAAATGAAAGATTGCAAGTATTCGTGAAGCTTTTCATAAGTTTAAAAAAAGAGAGAATTTAAGTTCCTTTGTGCCCAAATTCACTTAGAAACGTGAAAACCTCAATTCATTTCTACATGTACCTGAAGGGCAGTTACAGAGATGGAAATGGGCTTTTCTCCATGGCTCTAGGGAACAGGACTAGAAGCAATTGACTCAAGCTTGAGCATGGGAAATTTAGCTTGGAGTTTAGGAGGATCTTTCTCACTACAAGGGTAGTCTAACATTGGCACAGGTTACCATGAAAAATTGTGGAATCTCCATCCTTGGAACTTTTCAAGAATAGGTTAGACGGACACTTGGGTAGGATGATTTAGTCAAGGATAATCTTGTCTTGAGCAGGGGATTGGACAACATGGCCTTGTAGAGTCCCTTCCAGCCCTACTTTCCTATGATCCTATAAGGCAGAGTTAATGCAAAATACTATATCAGTATGATACTATAGTATCTGCAGGATCAAACACTGTCTTGTATACAAACACTTTAAAATAGCCAGGGTTGTGAAAGGTAGGAGACTTTCTGTTCTTCAGTCCATAAAATGTCAACTGTTTTCCAGAACTGACATTGATTTTTTTCTCTATTGATAGAGGTTGTGTATGTAGTTGCTTAATGCAGCCCCTTTTTACATTAGATCAGTGGTGCTCAACCTTTGGACCTTGCAGGCCAGATGAGTTGTGTGGGGCCACTGTACGGGCTGGATCCCAGGGGCAGTACCTAGATTGGCCCTGGGCTACCCAGTCTCACACTGCTGGCTGCATGCCACCTCAGGCTCTGTATACCTGATCTCGTATGTAGCACCATGGTATCTGGCCTGTGGGGCTTTCCACAGGTCTGGAAATTGGGCAGTGGCAATCAAGGTTGCCCTGCTTCTCTGTTGCCAAGCTTTTGAAACTGGGGATCTTGGTGGGCCAGATGACATAGCTCTGTGGGCCGGATTTGCTTGTAGACTGGGGGTTGAAAGCTGTTGCACTAGATAGGTATTCCATTAACACATCAGCCAGATCATTTTAGTTCTTTCTGTCTTGGGTTGGGGTCCCCTGTGGTGGCCGTGATGCTCCTGGTGGCTCCATGACCCTGCCAGCTCTGCCCCGAGGGCACCCTCTTGTCTCACCTGCCATGTCTTGTTGGCAAAATAAATTGCTGAACCCCACCAGAACTCACCGGTCCTGAGCTTTGCCAGACCTCTCTTCAGTACTGTGTTGCATGGGGCACGTTGAACCTTATGGGCAAATTGTGTGGCTCCTATACCTCCCCTACACCATTCCCCAGGCCTCACAGGTGTTACATAGATATTATTTTCTCTGTTTGGCCTTCAGCCTTTTCAGCATTCACCTCTTTAATCTGGCTAGGCCTTGTAGCCTAGGCCCACTGTGTCAGACCGGGCTTTGAGGGACTAGCTCCAATCAGTTTCTTCTAGTAACTGTGCTCCTGGCCTGCCTGCTGGGCTCCTAGCCCTCTGGCCTCTTGAGTAGCTGTGCTCCTCTGGGCACTAATGAGACCTCCATATCTCCCCTTACAGCCTCATCCCAAACTTCCAGTACAAATAATAACACAAACATAAGCTCCTGGGCTGTAACAGAATAATAGCAATGAAGACCGCGCTCGGCCCCTTTAAGAAGGCAAACTTCCATCCCTAGGACAGTGCGTCTCCAGGCCCTGGGTACCTTGTGGACTCCTGGAGCCTTGCTGCTCTTGTAGGTAGTAAAGCAAGCAACCTAACTGCTCTGGATAGCTCTCTTGGGTATGGGCTCCTTCCCCTGGCAGTCTCCAGAGACAGTGGGCCCTGCCAGCCTCAGCTTGTATGTCCCCAGGGCCTTGCCGCCTTCTGGTCAGCTGACTGCCTGCAGGTGCCAAATAAATACCTCATTAGCCTGTGGTTCAAGCAACCTGCAGCTGTGGAGCCCTGCCTGGCCTGCAGAGTTCCCTGGCTAGCCTGCTTCTGCTTTTAAAGGAGCAGGCACATCTTAGTGTCCTGCTACATGCTCATAGGTCTAGAAATTCCCCAGCGTTTTTGGTAGACTTTGTTTTGTCATGTTGGAATTTCCCTGGAATTTCTGTTTCTTGGGAAGAAGAATAATCCAAAACCACACAACTGAGACTCGTAAAACATGAACTGTGCTTCCAGCTCTGCTGCAACCTCTAAGGTTGCTCTTCAGCCTTAATGACCTCTGCCTTAGCTTTCCCACTTGTAAAATGGGGATGATAAAAGCTAATTGTGGGGCAGTGTTAAGGTAGCAAATAAACTGGGTCCACTCAGGGTCAGACTGATGTCCACATTTTGGATCAGGAAGGAATTTTACTTCATGGTTAGATTGATGGGGACTGTGGGGCTTTTTGCCTTCCTCTGTAGTGGGGCATGGAGGGCATTGCCCAATTCCTTAGATCCCTCAAGTGCATTTTAGCAATACTTGCAGCAGCAGGACACTGACAGCCCTCATGCTTTTGCTTTACCTGTGGCTGGATAGGGTTTTTTGTTCTTTTTTGGGCAATATGTCTTGTAGCTATGAGACAGGGTTGATTGTGTAGTTTTAGGAATTAGATAAGCACTTATATGGAATGGTTTAGATCAGGATGATATTGCCTTGAGCAGGAGGTTAGATTAGATGACCTCCCGCGATCTGTTCCAGCCTTACTTCTCTATGATTTATTCAGCCAAAACCATATAGACAAGAATATTTTGTGATTTCCTTTCCCCTACTTCCCTTTTCTCCTTGCTTATTCTCACTCTGCCCTTTCTTTTAAGAGTATGCATTACATTTCCACAGTAAAGCTTTATTCAGCCAGCACCCTCTGCACATACACGCAGTGAGAGTTGTATGTGGTTCAATGGGCCTTTCACAGATCCTTTTTACTCACTGTACTCTTTATTGGTGTTGATCCTATTGGAAGTTAAGGGTATTCAGAATATAGTAAGCGGGCCTTTAGTTTGACTCCACTAGCTCTCCCTGTTCCTTACTCTTCCTTTCCCAAGGTTTATTAAGGTTTCTTTTAAATTGGAATGTGGAGACTCCTAACATTTCTCACTGACTTTACACCAGTACATTCAGTCTGAAACATCTAAAACTATCTTTCTTATCAAAACTCATCTGAGAACTGTGTGAACCCAATACAGGTACTCCTTACTTAAAGTCACCCCAGTTAGCATTGTTACATTATTATGTCGCTGATCTATTAGAGAACATAGTCGTTTAAAGTTGCGCAATGCTCGGTTATAATGTTGTTTGGTTGCTGCCTGCTAGTAGTAATTACTGTGACATAATTGGATTAATTTAACATTGCTTCACTTAAAGTCACATTTTTCAAGAACATAACTATGATGTTAAGCAAGGAGTAGCTGTACTCGGTGGATTAAGTTAACTGAAGAACAATGGTATGGCTTGTTAACTCTGTTTTAGCCAGTTAAGATTTAGTTGGGCTTTTCAAAGCAGTGAAGCCTTTAGATCGGAGGTAGGCAAACTGCAACATGGCTGCTAGAGTGTGGTACTCAAACACATTTTGCTTGGCACACGCATCTAGGGGCAGACAATGGGAAAGCAGCCGAGGCTGCACTGTCACAACAAGGATCAGGCCCCTTGTGACTCTCCTGCCATCTGCCCTAGCATGCCAACATCTTGCAAGTTGACCCCTGATTTGGATACATTTTTCTTATTTGAGACATTATGTGGGGTATACCCTGCTCAGTAAAGAATTAAGGAAATGTTACTTAGGAGTTACAAAGGAAATCTGAGGCCAGATACTGAAGAACACTGAGCCTTACAACTCTTGTTAATCACTAGGAGTTGCAGGTTCTGGGCACCATAGAATCTAGGTAGGACCTCCCTTAGCAACATTTCATGACGCAAAATTGAATTTCTTTTTTGAAAGAAAATTATTTGATGACATGGAAAGAATCATTTTTCAGTTTGAGATAGGCAAGAGTTTTTTCTGAGAGATCTCTTCTATTGGACTGGCTGCAACTGTGATCAGGTATTTTCTATTTCCAGGTAAACTTCTCTTTGTTATAGTTGTTGTCCAAATAGTTTGGTCATAATGACTAAAGATAACATAAAAGCATTTCTTTCTCCATTTTTGCAGCTCGTGAACCTGCAGATATTGTCCTTTTGATTGCTAGTTCCAGTGAACTGGGAAATGACTCATTCCCTTACATTAAAGATTTTATTAGCAAAATGATATATGGTCTACCAATGGGGCCAAACCAGTACCACATTGCACTTGCCCAATACAGCAATGATGTGCACAGTGAGTTTCAACTGGACACCTATGAAGCAAAAATCTTAATGTTGAATCACATCAAAGAGAAGTTTGCATTTAGGGTTGGGCCCTTGAAGACTGGCAGTGCTCTTCGATGGGTTCATGAGACCTATTTCAAAGAAAAGACAACAGACAGAGATCAAATCTTGCTGGTCATGTCTTCAACACCCTCTGTCGATGAAGTAGACAAGCCTGCCCAGATCTTGCAACGTGATGGAGTAAAAGTCATAGCTGTGGGGATAGAAAAAGCTGCTATTGATGAACTAAGTTTGATAGCTACGCAGCCATACTCTTACTATTTTTCCAATGCATGGAAGCTTCCTATGTTTTCTCAAAACGTGTCCAAGATTATTGACACAATCCAAACAGATATAACTGATGCTGATGAGGAACAATTAGAAGGTAAGAAGTTCAACAAAGAAAAATCATTGTACTTATTGGAAACCATTAGACTCTGTTTTTAACATTTTGAATACATCTTGCATATTTTGAAATGGGGATATGCATATATGACATTGTTACACATTTAGAATTTCATTCTATGGTGTCATTCTGAAAACTGAGGTCAGTTTTCTTAGCCTATATGCATGATTCTTCCTGAGCACTCAGAACTAAGGAGAGAATGTTGAAAGAGGAGAGAGGAAATGTTCTTGCAGACTAGGTAATTTCCAAAAGATAAGAGTAATAGTTTCATTTTATATAATACATTATCATTACAAGTTATTGTGTGTGTTTGTGAAAGTCCATTAATGCTAAACAGGGAACAGTATATTTAAATAAATACTAGAAGTCCAAATTGCTTGTTGTGAAAAACTATCCTATATTATTTATCATAATTTTCCCATTCTAAATAATGTCTTGCAATCAGAATAGGGCAAAAAGACAGATATTCTTTTTATAGGTGTGTGAAAGTGTACAAAGTGTTGGGTTCTTTAGTCCATTTGGGTATACAGTCAACTGCTTCCCTGAATACAACTTGAAATTTCTCTTTATTATTTTATTGAAATGTATTTTGCCCTTATGGTCATGTGAGCTCTACTATTACGTAGTGCACAGGCAACAATAATTTCAGGCAGAGGGCTGCTTACCCAGTTTTGGCAAGCTGTCGAGGGCTGCATTGGTAGCCCCACCCCTTGTCAGATGCCCCAGCCCTGGTTGCCATCTTGTGACTGGATGTCCTGCCCCCTAACCTTTGCCACCAGAAGTCTCTCCCCTTGCCTCCAGAAGTACTTCTTTTAGCAAGGGGCTTTGCCATCTTGGAACCAGAAAAATACCAAATTATATTATAAAAACCAAATGTCTACAGCATTCATTAGTTTGATTTCCAAAAAATATTTTTGTCCTGATTTACATGTTTTTGCATAGTATACATAGAGATGATTGTGCAATAGTTTAAAATGAAGTCTTACTCTTGTATATTGTTGGGGGTGGGTATCGGTTTGTGGGGGGCTGTGGGTGTGTGGGTATGTGAGGTGAGGGAGCATGTGGGTGGGTGTGTGTGGCTATGTGGGGTGTGGGTGAGCATGGGGTTTGTGGGGGATTGGATACCTGGGGTGCTTGAGGCAATGTGGGGGTTTGTGTGTACGGCAGCAAGAGGGGGGTTGGGTGCATGTGTATGATGGGGTTTGTGTGGGACTCAGCCTATGAACACACACACACGCTGTTCCTGCCTGCATACACACACACCCACACACATTGTCCCTGACTACACACACACACACATCTGTTACTGGTGTGGCCCTGTGCTTCTGGTCTGGTGATGCAGCCAGCAGACACATGGTGCTGGAGTAGGGCGGAGCCAGGAAGCAAGGAAATGGCGGGGGGAGGGTCTGGGCTGTTCAGTCCTGCTGAGTCTCCCCCTGGGTCCTACTGCCCCTGCCACTGTCAGCTTTGACAGGCTGCCAGGGCAGATAAATATACATTTTCTAAGTTTTTTAGGGGCTCCGTGGACTGGATAGAATGGCCTGGTGGGCTGGATTTGGCCCACGGGCTGGATTTTGCCCACCCCTGACATAACATGTCAGCAAAACCATGTATAACCCTTTTAGCAGTACATAAACTTCCCTTTGGTCTTCTGAATTTTAAGCATCAGTCCATTTTCTTGTATGCTTTGGTAAAGATGTTGGCGATTTGCCTGAAGGCGTGCCTCCAAGTGAGCCCATAATACAGCATCATCAGCATACTGGAGCTCGATGATGGAGGTTGCGGTGGTCTTTGTTTTGGCTTGGAGTCATGTGAAATTAAACAGTTTACCATCCATTCAGTAGTTTAGGTCCACTCCAACTGGAAAGTTGGTGGTGGTCAGATGTAGCATTGTGGTAAGGAGTATCAAGAAGAGTGTTGGAGTGATGACATAGCCTTGCTTAACCCCCACCCTAACCTCAAAGGGATATGTGATAGATCTGTTATTGAGAATCACCTTTCACATACCATTAGGCAGGCAAAGAATGGTGACAAATTTTGGTGGGCATCAGTACTTCAGAAGGATCCTCAAGAGTACTTCTTGGTTGACAGTCAAAGGCTTTTGTGAGGTCAAAGAAGGTTGTGTAGAGAGGTTTGTGTTGTTCCCACAGCTGGCTAGCAGTGAAGATCATGTCAGTTGTGCCTCTTGATGCCCTAAATCTTCACTGAGATTCTGGGAGCAGCTCTTTAGCAAGTGGGAGGAGAGGGTTCAGGGGAGTTCTTGCAATGATCTTTTCTGTGGTGGACAGCAAGGCAATCCCTCTGTAATTTCCACAGTTAGACTTGTGTCCTTTCTTGAAGACTGCCATGATCATGGCGTCCCTGAAATCATCTGGGGTGTTCAGATTCACAGTGAGACTCTGGAGAACACTGAGTATTTCCTGTACTTTGGAAGCCATTCCTTACAGAAGGCTGACATTTGATGAAGAAATCCAGCATCACTTCAAAAATGCAAATGCAGCCTTCAAATGCCTGATGAAATGGGTGTTCAAAGACCATGATATCAGAACCAAAACCAAGCTCATGGTTTATTAAGAAGTCGTGATCTCCACCTTACTGTATGGAGCTGAGACATGGACAACATACAGGAGATGTCTCAAGCCACTGGAGATGTACCATCAATGCTTCCTGCAGACAATCCTTTGAATACAGTGAGAAGACAGATGCACCAATGCTAGCATCCTCTTGCAAGCTGTAACACAGTCCTACCCCAGGGGTGTCTGTGAATCTCCTGGAGCTCCCCTCAGGCCTTGTTTCCTTTTAAGTTATTTGGGAAATCTCCCCTTCAACTCACCTGCCACACCTTGATGTGATTATGTCTCTAGAAAAAAGGAGGATGCCCCAGGGCTCCCCAAGCAAGATCTCACACTGACCCCAGGTATCACTACTCATCACCATAAGGGCTAATCATATGGTCTCCTCATCTCCCCCTTTAGCCAAGCCCAAGCTTTGCAGATGTTACCGATCACTTCTTAGCTCAGGTCTGCATTCTTTGCCCCTCCTGGGGTCAGGCCTGTCTCTTTCCACCTACACTCAGGCACTTCACCCATCTTGGCTATTCCTAGGCACGGCCCTGGATCCATGATCCTGTTTCTACCTCTCAGAGGCACTGGGCCCTGGCCCTATCTCTGCCCATCTCTGGGATGTAGGTTCCTGCCATTCTCAGTCCTCAGCTATGGCCTTCCTTAGCCTTTGACCCCTCTCCCTGGTCAATGACCCTATTCCTAGGCCAGTTGAGCCCTCCTGTGGGCTCTCTGGCCCTACTTTTTCTCACCCCTCCTGAGCTACAGGTCCCTGTTCCTGATTCTCACTCCTTCTGGGCTATGGCTGTGGCCTTGCTCCTTGGCTTTGACCCCTATCCAATGGGCCCTGGTCCCACTCCTGGAACAGTTGAGACTGCCCCCACCCCTAAAATTTCAATCCTAAACCACCAGTCTTGTCACCTCAGCTAAGGTGTTAATCAAGAGCCTTGATTAACCCTGCTGCCTAGGAGCTCTTCCCTCATGGCTCTCAGGGCTAGACTGCCTTCTCAGTTCAAGCCCTGGGTTTATATCCTGCTAGGCAAGACCCTTTAGGTCATTTGACTCCTGCCACACCTGCCACCTAATTGGCCCCTGCCACATCTCATGCAGCCTGCCTTCTCTTAAAGTAGCAGGAGCACCAAGCCTCTTGCTATACAAACACCACAAGCATCGAGGTAATGATCATCTGACATCAATTTCACTGGGCTGGCCACATCATCTGGATGTCAAACTCCAGATTCCCAAAGCAAGTTCTATTCTCCCAGCTCAGTCAAGGCATATGTTCAAGAGGATGGCAGAGAAACACTTCAAGGACATTCTCAAGGCCAACTTGAAAAATTCAACATTGACATCAACTCATGGGAGACCATGCCCAGGACTGCCCCAAACAGAGGAAGAGTCAGCTGCAAGGATCTCAGTACTTTGAAAACCTATGATAACAACAGGAGATGGAAAAGAGGGAGAGCCACCCACCTTGCATGGAAATATGTGCCTGAGTTGCAACAGAGTTTGTTGATACTGGATAGGCCTTGTCAGCCATCTTTGGACTCACAGATACAGATAAGACAATCATGGAAGATAACCATCCTTGACTGGGAGGGATTGCTGCTGCTGCTGATATAAACTTCCCAGGGCTTTTCTGTAGATTGCATGTTCCATGTAAGTACTCTTTTGGGAAACTGTTTTGCACTGACTCCTATACCACAACTGAACTATCCATGGAATTTCAGTTTGTTGGGAAGGCTAATGATGTGGCAGAAAAATTTAACAATGGGGAATCAGGAGATTTACTTTTAGCTCTACAGCTTATTTTTTGAAAGAGATGACATTAGACTATTACTCTATTCTTGCACCCTTAATAATACCTCTAACAAATCTGTGGCGTATCGCATAGCCCTGAAAAGAGGATTATATTTTTACAATGTGTGTCAAATGAGGTACCAAGATGTTATTGGTCTAACTGTTTGTTTTTCTTTCTCATGAAGCTAACTCCATTTATTTATTCATTTCCTAGATCAATTTTTATACACACCATACAAAAACCTTTAGTAGAAAGTTTTCACCATCATTACCAAAAACACAATGTCCACTTTATTTGATATTTTCATGATCGATTTTAATTTACTGTGTCTTATTTAGTTTATTCTTTGTAAGGCATCCACATTGCTGCAAATCCACTTAGGACAAAATAGGGTGGGGTTTTTTTTTAAACAGCACCATCTTCCTCAATTTTTTTTAAACCTGAATAGTAAATTCAGTATCATAATGGACATGGAACAGAGAATAATATTGCTTTTTTTTTTTTTTCTCTCTCTCTCTCTCTCTCTCTCTTTTCCCCACTGCAGTCTGTAACTTGGATTTGCTTGCTGATATTGTGTTCATAGTAGATGAAGGTGTTAAAAAAACAGACTTTGATACTACTAAAAAATTCCTGAAAGACGTAATATCCTTTCTTGATGTAAAGAAGGAATGCATAAGAATTGGTTTGGTGACTTTTAGCACTAAGCCAGAAGTGATATCTTTTCTGAACACAGAAACAAACAAAGCTGATATTCTGCAGAAAATAGAGGGCCTTTCTCCCAAGCCAGGGAAAGCTCATACAGGTGCTGCCATCAATGCTGCAAGCAAAAGTGTCTTCATTGAGAGTGCTGGAAGCAGAAAATCTGAAGGGGTAGAGCAAATAGCCGTTCTGATCACCCACAGACCCTCACAAGATAACGTGAGTGATTTAGCAGCAGAGCTTAGGAGAAGTGGGGTGACTGTTTTCTCCATTGGTATTAGAGATGCTAGTGTCCTCCAGTTGAAAGAGATAGCATCACATCCTCGACAGCAGTATGTTACGTATCTAAAGGAATTTTCTAACCTGCTGAATCAAAATGAAACTTTTTACAAGAAACTCTTGAATCAAATAAAGAATAGGCTCTATAGCGAGTTGGAACGAAGAGAATCTCTCAAAACAGGTAAAGCTTTTCAAGTACTGTAATATTTCTCTTCTTTTTTCCCCTGATCTAAATTTCATTTTGGTCCTTTTTATTACAACTGGTCATCAGAGCAATACAGCTTTTAAGTTGAATATGGATTCACTGTTAATTTTTATTATGCTTGGTGCCTTTCAGTATTATTTATTGAGATGCTACAAGTTGTGTGCCCCTTATCTTTTTCGCATCTGCTAGTATTTATCTCTTACGCCCTCATAGAATCTTACTGAATTGTGACACTGTGAATTGGATCATATCAGCAAATACTAATAAAGGGTCATTGAAATGGTATTTAAATTTATTTCTTTTAGCAAGATCATGCGCTGGGGAGGGGAAGGGTGTCGCAATAAATATTTTTGTATAACTATGTGAATGGCCAGTGATTATACTGAATATATTTGGAGGGCAATGCCATTAAATAAATCATTTAAAAGTAGGAGACTCCAAGGCCAAATCATCATTTTATTGACATAGGGCTGCAAATAAGTATGGGCATGCTTAACTTGCAATTTTGTAAGTGTATCATATCCATACCTTGGCTAAGATGAAGGTCTGCATAGTAGAAAATGTTTTAATCAAGTGTGGTTTTAGATCTAAATTCTACTCCCGTAAAGTAGAACTTAGCTTGCCTCAAAAACCATCATCCTGTAATGACCTTCCTCCTGGCAGACCCCAGGATCTGTACAAAGCTCAGATGATTTCAGTGGGATCCTCTTTGATGGCTACACTGGAACCCTGCTGGTGGGAACATGATGAATCAGATACTCGTGGGGCATGTCTACACGAGCTATTAATTTGGAGCATGCTTACTGCACAGTAAAAATACTGTATAGTAAGCCTACCAGGGGAGCCATGTCTACACGTTCTCCCTCTTGGGAGCAGATTTCCTCCTGCCCTGCTCTACCCCGCTGCAGCAGGGCTAGCCTGGGTTCTGGTGGGAAGAACAAGGAGAGCTCTGCTGGCTGCAGTGGCAGCTGTCTACTGGCCCTGTACACACCAGGGGGGATCCTAATGTGAATGGGACCAGGAGACAGCTGCTAATGCAGACACACATGAGGATAAGTCTAGGGGGACTTCCCCACACAGCCCAGGACTGTCCAGGAATTGTCCCATTCTGGGCCAGGTCTGAGCCAGCCTTAGGCTGGTGGGGGAACTCTACTTGGGCAGGCAGCTCCCAGCCCCAGCTCCACAATTGGAGTGGGGGCTGGGACATTGTTCCCTGCCTCTGGCAGCTCCATGCTCCTGGCAGCTGCTCTGATTGTGGAGCCCGGCTGGGACAATTTTATCCTGGCCCTGCAGCTAGTAGTTCCTAGCTCTGGCTTTATGATCAGAGTTGGGGCTGGGAGATTGCTGCCTGACCCTGACAGCTCCCTGCTGCCAGGATGGGCTCCGATCATGGATCCTAGCTAGGACAATGATCAGAGCCTGCCCCAGGAGCTGCCAAGGGAGAGGATTGTTCTCCTGTCCCCTGCTGCCCTGGCTGACAATTTGGGAGCAATTTGCTCCCTGTCAGTTATCTAACCATGTGCTATTGCATAGTACCTACTGTGTGGTAAAAGGTAGTAGAAAACCACACAGTAGATTAGTCTACTGGGCAGTAGCTCCTGCTCACAGGGCATATCAACACATGCATTTACACCGGCTTAAATGTACTGCACAGTAAGTTACTATGCAGTATGTGGGAATAGGCTGGTGTCTACACGCGCAGGTGTTCAAGCTCATTAATGCTGTATGTGGACTGACTTGGGACTACGTCTCACGCAGCCAGAGCTAAAGTCAGTCCATATACACAGTATTACTGCACAGTAAGGTGTTTACATGTGCATTACTGCACAGTGACTAATTGGGCATAAATTTGATACCTGGTACACTCAATTAGGCATAGGTTGCCATATTTACTGTGCAGTATGGGCATGCATGTGTAGACACATGCCCGTACTGTGCAGTAATTTTAGTTACTGGGCAGTAAATGTGCATGTGTAGATGCACCCACTGTTCCCCAGTGATACTTTATTGAGCAGTAGGTTAGTCAACTGTGCAGTAAAGCATCTCGCGTAGACACATCAATGGTTGCTCTACCAGCTAGCCCAACCTTCCTTTTCCCCAGTTCTCACCAAGTAGAGAATTACATCATCACAGTCTCTGGCAGAGTTTAGCCCTGGTGGAATACCATCTGAGTTTATGCCACGGTAAACCTAGGGTTGAAATTTTCAGATCATCTAGAACATTTAAATTTTCTTTTTAAAACCACTGGAGTATCTGTGTCTAAATCCACTAGACTGCTTAGAAAAATGTCATTTTACATCTGCCTGAAAACCTCCATGAGCTTATCTAAATGTCTTGTTTGAGTTAAGCTAGTATCTCCCTGTGCAAAGCAATCCTAATGTAACATAGTTTCCCTTTCCATGTAGGATGTGTGGATACAGAAGAAGCTGATATCTATTTCCTCATTGATGGTTCATCAAGTATTACATATCCTGACTTTGTGGATATGCAAACTTTTTTGACAGGAGTGATTAACTTGTTTAACATCGGACCAGATAACGTCCGATTTGGAGTTGTTCAGTACTCACACTTGGTTGACCTGGAATTTGAGCTTGGTAAATACAACACAGCAGGTGATTTAGTGAAGGTCATTGAAAACATCAGGCAAATAGGTGGAAATACCAACACAGGAGCAGCTCTAAGTTACATGCGACCACTCTTTGCAAAGGCAAGGAGCCAACGTGCTAGAAGAGTGCCTTGTCACCTCATTGTTCTAACAGATGGACAATCACATGACAGCGTGAAGGAACCTGCTGATATATTGAGGAAAGACCAGGTTATTGTTTATGCCATTGGAGTGAAAGATGCTAATGAAACACAGCTCCATGAGATTGCAGGGGCAAAGAACAGGGCATATTTTGTACACAATTTTGACTCATTGAAAGTTATAAAAAGTGAAGTTGTTCGAGAAATCTGCTCTGAAGAAGGTAAGGCAAACTTTGAGAACTAAAATTCATAAATTGCCCAATCATATCTGCTGAAGCAGTTAATAGTACCCCCAGTTTGAATCTGTGGGAGCGAAATATTTGGAGAGCTAATTACTATTTAGTAACTTGACTTTACTGCACATTACAGCCAATTTTCCTAAACAAATGTTTGAGATAATATTTTAGCATGCAGACTTATGAATGTGTACTAAGTAAGAGCTAAAGATTCAGAAAGTGTTTTGTTTGGGGGGGTTTAACTTATTCTTATACCTTATATTTATCTTATGTTTATTTTCTTTCTGTTAAACTGTCACTGCTGCCTCAGTTATTTTCTTTTCAGTGTATAATTTCTGAATTGCATTTTAACTTTTTTTTCTATAGCTTGCAAAGATATGAAAGCTGACATCATATTTTTGGTGGACAGTTCTGGGAGCATTGGAGATGAAAACTATGTGAAAATGAAAAGATTTATGAAAGAACTGGTGAACCGATCTGACATCAGCACACAGCAAGTGCAGATTGGGGTTGTCCAGTTCAGTGATGTTCCCAGGGAAGAGTTCCAGCTCAACCAATACTCTACCAAGCGCGATATTGTTAGCGCTATTGGCAGAATGTCTCTCATAAATCAGAACACACAAACTGGAAAGGCACTGAAGTTTGTGGCTGAGTATTTTCAGTCTCCCAAAGGAGCACGTCCCAATGTTAAAAAAATTCTTATCCTGATCACAGATGGGAAAGCACAAGATACAGTAAAGGAACCAGCAACAGCCCTACGACAGGAAGGCATTATTATTTACTCAGTTGGAGTTTTTAAAGCAAATAGAACTCAGCTAGAAGAGATTGCTGGGAAGCCTGAGTTGGTTTTTTATGTTGAAAACTTTGATATTCTAAAGGAGATAGAAAACGAGATCATCTTTGGCATATGCAGTCCTTATGAAAGTAAGTCCTGTAGTTCCCATAACTCATACCCATCTGTGCATGTGTGTGTAAGTGGGAATTCTGCTCAGACTTGAGAGTCAGCTATTGTAATAAAGTAAGTGTTATGATTACAGGGATAGCTGCACCTCTGTCCATTTTGTGATTTCTATGAATTGCTGACCTGAGGCTCCTGTGTCTTGTTCTTCTATTCATCTTTGGATGGAATTCCAAATTTCCCTTGCTTTTCATTGTTCTTACCTTGCAGGCCTGAATGCATTTGCACACCTGGGACACTTCCTTGTGAAAGTCTGTGACCAAAGAGCCTTTTAAAACAAAAGTATTGCTTATTTCACAGGCGGGACAAAGCATAAGAGGAAACAGTCTTTAAAACACTAAACAGTTCATGTACTATATTGCATAAATTATTATTGCCCCCCTGATCATAACCTAAGCAGGCACAGTCAGGGTTCTGGAGTAACAGCTGGGTTCTCTTGAACAACAACCCATGTCTCTTGTGAAGGGATCAGTTTTAATCCTTCCAGTGTTCTTTGTTCTTCTGTGGACTGAGACCTTGGCTCCTCTGAGTCAAACCAGTTTTATGGTTTGGTTGGAGACAGCCCATAAAAACTATAAAATAGTTCTATCAGTTGCCCTATAATAATTATTACACACTTGCTTTGAGGTATGTCTTAAACCATGCAGTTTTTCTAGACGTGGGTTTTTTTTTTTAAATTTAAACCAATATAGTTAAACAGAAAATAACCCTTGTGCCAGTCTGGCATACACTATTTATTAGGGCTGTACAAAGTTTTGGGTGCTGATTTGATTCGGAGGAGATTCGGCCCGATTCGGTGGCCAAATCTCTGAATCCGAATTGAATCAGGAGACAAATAAAAAGATCTAAATCCATTCAAAGTTCTCCAAATCATTTTGGAAAAGATTCAGAGAGCTTTGGAGAAATTCAGAGATTCAGGCAGTCTCCGCTCGCTGTGGCAGGGAGCTGGACCCATACTCTGTGCAAGTAAGTGGGGGGGGACGGCAAGAGGAGGGGGGATGTGACTGGGGGGACCCCCAATAGGCCCCAACCCCTGCCTTCTTCTTCAGACTCTGAGTGCCCCCGAACCCCCACTGAGTCTCCCAGCCCCATCAATGGCTGCCTCACCAGGCCCCAGCATCCTGGCTATTTAAAAAAAAAAATAAATACAAGCCCTGGGTTTACTGGATGCTGCAGCAGCCATTGGGGCTTCTGGGGGTTTGTAGCAGAGCTCCCCACACAGCATGGGGCAGTGGGGTCATCAGAGATCACCACCCCCCCTTTACTGGCAGGAGCTGGTGAGTGCAGGGCTTTTTTTTTTAAAAAGAGCTAGGATGCTGGGGCCAGGTGGGATAGCCATTGACAGGGCTAAAGGGAGAGCGGGCAGGGGATGGGGCCTTTTTGATTTGGAGATTCAGCCAATTTGGCGGCAGTCGAATCTCCAAATCAGATTCGGCCAAATCAATTTGGGACAGTGATTCAAATCACCAAATCGAACCACTGTCCCCCAAACTGGCTGAATTCAAAGCAAATACTAGCCACTCTGCACAGGTCTACTATTCATGCTTTATACTTTCAAAGTGGTATAAAGGGTACCTTGGCATAGCTGAGATTCAGGATGCAATGACTGAATTCTGACTTAGTTTACAGGACTGCAGAGAAGTTTCAGAGAAGTTTCATTAATTTAAATGAGGGCAGATTGGGCCCAGGGTCTCTGTTTATTGGTTCCTGAAGCCTAAGGGACTCCACAAAATTATAAACATTTTCTTTCTTAATAGGAATTTAATATAATGAGTAAAATGATAATTGCAAGTGGTATGTGGGTAAATAAAGAAGTATGATCGCTATTAATGTATTTCAAAACACATTAGCACTGGTGAACACTTTTTTTAGTGACACTACTGTGCAGTAGCTTAATAATATTACACAGTATCATATTAGCACTGTCTGTGCTATGATGCGCTACTGTGCATTACGTGTCTCATGTAGATGCGGCCCCTATGACAAAATACATAGTTCCATGATAACTTTTTAAATTTAATAGAACAGCTGAGAATGGGTTATTTTGTACCAAATGAGAAGTGTAATTTTTTTTATGAGAAATGTTCTGTCCAGAGAAAAGGGACAATATTTTTATTGACTGCCCAAGCACTCAACCTAACTTGACTAATCCAGTCTATGGAATATTTAGTTCATATTGAACAGGATCAGAAGTTAAACACAGCTCTTTGCACAGTCAGGCCCTTAATGGCAACATGATACCCATCTGTGCAAACCTTCCCCTTTCTGAGGTTTTTATTTAAACATTGCAGATTTTGCTAATTTAATAGAACCTGTAAGATAGAGTTGATGGGACATCCAGCTGGATCAAATACAAACATAAACATCACAATTTACAAGAAGTAAATTTAGATATATGAAGTTATTTTCCCTTTAACTTTGCCTGGCTCAAGCTTAGCCTGGGTCTTCCCATGAGTATAATTGTGTTGATCCTCT